AGTCATTGAGAACACGTTGTCTAACTATAAAGTCCAAAAGTTGTCACGCCCTGGCTCTGGGGACTCTTAAATGTTGAGCCAGGGTGTGGATTTGCTATGTTTAGTTTTTCTATGTTTTTGTTTTTGTTCTAGATCGGTTAGATCTATGTTGGCCAGGGGTGGTTCCCAATCAGAGGCAGCTGTAGCTCGTTGTCTCTGATTGGGAACCATACTTAGGCAGCCTGTTTTGCACTAGTCTTTGTGGGATCTTGCATCCGTAAAGGTTTGTTGTGTTATAACCTCAGGACTTCACGTATCGTTTCGTTTTGTTGTTTTGTGTCGTGTGTTGTGTACGAATAAATGATGTACGCTTATCACGCTGCGCCTTGGTCTGTGTCTTCAGTCAACGAACGTGACAAAAGTTATGGGTGGAGTTACAAAGTTGGCTGTTATATAATGTAAATTTACTTTAAATCTGTGTGCCTGCATACTTCAAGACATGTCATACGAGGGTGCAGTGAAATACCCGATGGACTGGACAATGGACTTCTTGTCAATTATCTTGAAAAAAAACGTATACTTAAAAACTGGAAATCAACCAATCCTCCACCGTTAAGACAATGGGAAAATCATATGCTTCATTATCTAAAATTTGAAAGAGCGTGCGCGACGGTGAGGACATGTGGCGAAGGGTAGTGCAGGCACTGGAGAGAGGGCTGAGAACAGGTGGGTCTGAGTAGGTGTGATGTCATTGATGTTTGTGTGCTTTCGTACGTGTATGTTTTGTATTTTTTTTTTATATAGATGTTTTTTTTTGTTTTTTTTTACACATTATCTTTTGCTTTTATTTAATCAGGTAAGTCGTTGAGAAGACATTGGCACTGTCCAAATACCCTTTACACTGTCCAAATACCCATCCTAAATATTAGGCCGTTTGAGTATGTGAAAAAATAAAGTTTAATAGTATGCGACATTTTGAAAATCAAGTATACTTTAAATGCCCAGATGTCATACTCATTTTGGCTTTGACAACAACTGATGATGAGACATGGGGAGGAGCTACCGGCATCAAGGAATAGCGGGAAACGCAATCGTGCAATTATTTTAAAATGGAGTATGATTTAAATGCCAGGATGTTGTACTCTTCTTAGCTCTTCATCTAGTATAATTAGATTAACACTTTTCCTTGGAAGTGGTGGGCTGCGAGTGATAGGCCCCAGATCTCTTCAAGTAGCCAAACAACAAAACTAGGCTACTTAATTGGGAAGTTGCCGAATGACGAAGCTTTTGCGGTGGTGTTCAAATGTACACTGATCAAAAAATATAAACGCAACATGTGAAGTGTTGGTCCCATGTTTCATGAGCTGAAATAAAAGATCCCAGAAATGTTACATACGCACAACAAGCTTATTTCTCTCAAATTTTGTGCACAAATTTGTTTATATCCATGTTAGTTAGCATTTCTCCTTTGCCAAGATAATCCATCTACCTGACAGGTGTGGCATATCAATAAGCTGATTAAACAGCATGATCATTACACAGGTGCACCTTGTGCTGGGGACAATAAAAGGCCACTCTAAAATGTGCAGTTTTGTCACACAACACAATGCCACAGATGTCTCAAGTTTTGAGGGAGTGTGCAATTGGCATGCTGACTGCAGGAATGTCCACCAGAGGTGTTGCCAGAGAATGTAATGTTCATTTCCCTACCATAAGCCGCCTCCAACGTCATTTTAGAGAATTTGTCAGTACGTCCAACCGGCCTCACAACCGCAGACCACGTGTAACCACACCAGCCCAGGACCTCCACTTCCAGCTTTTTCACCTGCGGGATCGTCTGAGACCAGCCACCCAGACAGCTGATGAAACTGTGGGTTTGCACAGCCAAATAATGTCTGCACAAACTGTCAGAAACCGTCTCAGGGAAGCTCATCTGCATGCTCATTGTCCACACCAGGGTCTTGACCTGACTGCAGTTCGGCGTCGTAACAGACTTCATTGGGGAAATGCTCACCTTCGATGGCCACTGGCACGCTGAAGAAGTGAGCTCTACACAGATTAATCATGGTTTCAACTGTACCGGGCAGATGGCCGACAGCATGTATGGCGTTGTGTGGGTGAGCGGTTTGCTGATGTCAACGTTGTGAACAGAGTGCCCCATGGTGGCGGTTGGGTTATGGTATGGGCAGGCATAAGCTACGGACAACGAACACAATTGCATTTTATCGATGGCAATTTGAATGCACAGAGATACTGTGACGAGATCCTGAGGCCCATTGTCTTGCCATTCATCCGCCGCCATCACCTCATGTTTCAGCATGATAATGCACGGCCCCATGTCACAAGGATCTGTCCACAATTCCTGGAAACTAAAAATGTCCCAGTTCTTCCATGGCCTGCATACTCACCAGACATGTCACCCATTGAGCATGTTTGGGATGCTCTGGATCGACGTGTACGACAACATGTTCCTGTTCCCTCCAATATCCAGCAACTTCGCACAGCCATTGAAGAGGAGTGGAACAACATTCCACAGGCAACAGCCTGATCAACTCTATGTGAAGGAGACGTGTCGCGCTGCATGAGGCAAATGGTGGAAACACCAGATACTGACTGGTTTTCTGATCCACGTTTTGTTTAGAACATATGGATTATTTTAGTTGTGTATGGATCAAGCCTTAGCAGTCGGATCTCCTTCCCAATGATCAGTGCTTTAGTTTATTATGTTGCTGTCCAGTGGTTCACCCGACTGTCCACGTTTTTCTGCGCAATAGCCTTTTGATTTGAACATTTGAAAAGTGTTGGTGCAATATGTAACCTTTTGGACAACCTGACCAAATTAACATAGAAATGTGAGTTATATATTTGTCATTCTCATTGAAAGCAAGTCTAAGAAGTGGTAGATATGTTCTATGTGTGTTATTTCTACGCTTCCAGTTCTTAAGTTTAGTTTTTGCGTCTTTTACTTCCGGTTTTGTACACCAGCTTCAAACAGCTGAAAATACAATATTTTTGGTTATGGAAAATATATTTTACAGCGGTTTAGATGGTACAATGATTCTCTATACTATACTTGCTTGTTTGGTCTGCGGTACTCCTGAGTGACGCAGTGGTCTAAGGCACTGCATCGCAGTGCTAACTGTGCCACTAGAGATCCTGGTTCGAATCCAGGCTCTGTCGCCGCCGGCCGCGACCGGGAGACTCATGGGCGGCGCACAATTGGCCCAGCGTCGTCCAGGGCAGGGGAGGGAATGGCCGGCAGGGATGTAGCTCAGTTGATAGAGCATGGGGATGTGGGTTCGTTTCCCATGGGGGGCCAGTATAAAAAAAATATGTATTCACTAACTGTAAGTCGCTCTGGATAAGAGCGTCTGCTAAATGACTAAAATGTAAATGGTCACTGAAATTAAGTGAACTTTTAGAATTTTAGCAACCAGGAAATGGCTTTTTCTGCATAGTGCACCTTTAATCAGGTAAGTCATTGACAACACATTATCTTTTGCCTGTATTTTGTTTTTGCAAAACGATTGTGTTGTTATGCATATAGAGTAGTTGATGGCTTTGGTGACTGGTTCCCAATACTATTTAATGGCTGTGGTGACTGGGTCATAATACTATTTAATGGCTTTGGTGACTGGTTCCCAATACTATTTAATGGCTTTGGTGACTGGTTCTAATACTATTTAATGGCTTTGGTGACTGGTTCTAATACTATTTAATGGCTTTGGTGACTGGTTCCCAATACTATTTAATGGCTTTGGTGACTGGTTCTAATACTATTTAATGGCTTTTGGTGACTGGTTCCAATACTATTTAATGGCTTTGGTGACTGTT